TGTCCCCAGCCGGCGCCCCCGCGGTGGCGGGGCACCTCCCCCGAGATGCGCCAGGCAGTGCAGCCACAGGGCCCTGCGTCCTGGGCTGGGCGCGGGGTGGGGGGGGGGGGTGCCTGTGCTGGGCCTTTCCTTGCCTTGCTGACAGGTCCGAGGGAGTGTGCACACTCCCCGCGCCACCAAATGGCAAGTCTCTGGAAGTCAGGGTACATATTGAGAGGATCATGGTACTTTCTCAAACATAGTCAGTCAGTCAGGTATATAAAGCTTTTTTATTTCTTCAATTTCATTTTAGAACATAAGGCAGAATCAAGTCCTTTTTTAGAGGTTTTCTAAATGACCACATTGATGTTTCGCTGTGCCTTTTTCTGTCCTAGTTTTTACTGCAGTTCCTGGCTAGTACATTTTAAAAACCTGTGGAAGCGTTGGTTTCGTAATGCGTCTGGAAAAGAAACGCTCCTCGTAAAGTATGTGGTCGGTGGAAAACTCGCCTGGGTGCTGTGGGGTTGAGGCGCAGTAGTCCCCTCAGCAGTCTGGGGTCATGCAGGAGAGGAGATTCCAGCTGCTTCTTCCCTCTGCCCTGTGGACCTGTGACAGGAGTGGCCCAGGGCTGAGGGAGCTGGTGAGTCCTGTCCCATCAGGGGTTCCGTAGCTCACGTCGGCCTGCTAGCTTACATTTCATACGTGAGTCCGACTTGGAGCTCAGCCACTCTAGAAATTTCATTCATTTATTTGTTTCTGAAAAGCAAAGGCAGGAAGCTTTCATATTCTGTGGTATTTCGGCCTCAGGTGCTCCTTCCATAGTGGCAGTAGCTCTGATGTGGCCATGTGGGGACACAGCTCAGGCAGGTGCCCTCTCCCCATGCTCAGTGCTCGAGCCTGCAGTGCCGCTGCCGCGGAGCACAGCCAGACCTTGGGCAGCGTCTCTGGCTGGCCTCTGTGTTCCTGCAGTCTGCAACGTGGCTCGTCCGTGTCCTCTAAGCCTCCTCCCAGTATTGCCCGCTCATACTGGGCGTTTACCACCAGCCTCTGCAGGCCCTGGCCTTGCTGGATGTGTGCAGGGAGGTGGTGGCATGCTCCCGTTTCTCAGTATTAACAGAAGGACACGCTTTGCAGTAAATGAAAATGCAAATTTGAATACATCTCAAGTTAGTCCAACACTCAGACCTCTTAAGAATTCTTTTTGGTCCCTCTGTTTTTTTTCTGAGCTAACTTTATCGCCTTACACAGTAACTGTCCTCTCAGAGAAGGTGGAGGTGAGGTCAGAGGCCACCACACTTGTCCCTGAGCAGGAACCAAGCCATCTTGCTTACATCTCCTGTGCTGTGTGTGTACCTCACTTTTGCAAGTAACTCATATTTGACTGTTGCTGTTTCAAAAGCCATATTCCATGTAATTCCAGCATTCCCGTCTCTGCTCCTGTCATTTGCCTGGTCAGGCAGCACTCAGGCCCACCGTGGGCAGGTTGCTGTGCCGCGTGCCTGGGGAGGCGGGCTCTGGGCTGCTCTGCAGGAGCTCACGCGGCAGGGCTGGACGCCCAGGGCACTGTCAGCCTGCTGGGAGAGGCGCCCCAGCCCCCTTTTGCCCTGGCTCGGCTGTGAAGTGTAGGTGCAGGGAGGTGTTTTGCTGACCCTGTGCTGGTCACAGTGTCGGGATGTAGACCTGTGTGCCCTGTCAGAATGCAGGTGTGGTGCGCAGGCACCGAGGGGAGCGTGGCTGGGATGTAGAGCAGGCCGCCGAAGGTGTCTCAGGCATCGGGGTTTTCCTGCAGAGATGCGTGCCTCCTCGAACACTCAGTGCTCTGTAAATTCTGGAAGCAGGAGAGAGTTGTCTTTGTTTTTTCCTTTCTCACATTTAATCACTACATTTTTTAAAGAATTAATTTTTAATTTATTCATTCATTTATTTTAATTTGACCAGAGAGAGAAGGAAAATGAGAAAGCAAACCACCAGGTCCGGGACTAGAACTGTGGTCAGCCACGTGGGAGTGTCCAGCATCTTAACCACCATGCCACCTGCTGGTCCCCAATCACTATACATCTTAGCAGCATACAAACTGAATTTTCCCAGCATGAATATATTGTATATTAGTCCAAAGATATTACCATATTCATTCGCATCAACAGATAATTTTCCATATTTTGTGTCCATTAACTCTTTTGTTTTTCTTTTCCTTGATTCCCTGCCATCCCACCCCCCTCATTGGCTGCTCTCTTCCCACACTGTCTCTAAAATCCACAGCTGCGCTCCGTGCTTTCAATACATGGCGATCTTTTGGTCCCCACTGGAGTGCAGACATTCAGTGTATACTGAGTGGGGCACACAGCTCCTCTCATTCCCAGTCTGGCTTGCTTCACTCTGCATTGACTCCTCCAAACCCACCCTCTTTCCAGCACTTGCCAGGGTCTCGCTGCTCTTCTTGGCTGGGTGGTAGTCCACAGCGTATATGTGCCACACTTCTTTAATCCGTTCATCTTTTATTGGACATTTGGTTGATTCCATGTTTTAGAAGTTGTGAATAATGCTGCAATAAACATGGATGTGCATGTGTTGTTAAAAATATGAACCACTTCATGAATGTGCGTGGGGCCAGGTGCATCTTCTCTGTATCATTCCAGTTTTAGTCTATGTGCTGCCGAAGCAAGCACAGAAGTCAAGTCTTCAAAGCTATCTTCAAATGGAAACCAGTCCAAAATAAAGTGGAATTTAGCACTGTGCGTTGAAGACGCACTGAAGAAGGCAGACCTGCCAGTACTTGGAAGAGCACGTGGGCTGTGGAGTCAGGGCGGTCTCTC